GTTACATTATTTGGGGCTGAAATTGATTTCCTTCGTATATCTTTCGACGCTCTATCGAATGGCACTTGCAAAATCGCACAGTAATTGCAAATTTCAGAATCGTGAGTGCCCCATTTATTCCCGCCCCCGTGACCCTATGAGTACCGAACTACCCTTTAATAATAGCTTTTTTCTTTTTCCTGTTGAAAAGTGTTATAAAACGTCACTTTAAAAGCAATAAGCTTCAAATTTATTCAAATCCTCAGCCCCACTCGAGCCATTTTGGCCCCTCGCACGGATTGTCGTCGCAAATCGGGAACTGGAAAAGTTAGTTTTAAAAGGATTAAGTGTCGCTTAGGCTAAGGCTTAGGTTTAAGCTTAAGCTTAGGCTCAAACTTAGGCGGCGTAGGCGTCGGCTTAACCTCAGGCTTAGACTAAAGGTTATTTATGCTTAGGCTTAGGCTTATTAGGCATAGACTGGGAAGCATGCCCAGTCCCGCAAATCGCCGCGCACCGCAATCCACGTCGGCTGGGCACAGCATGCAGCATTTCAGGCCCTGAAAATTTACAAAAAATTTTTCTATTCGCCAGAAAACATACCGCCTCACATTCCTTCGTCGACTGGCAGTATGTGCCTTTGGGACGTCCAAGGTCCGGATATTCCTCAATGTCGCAATTCATAATATCCAAAGTGATAATGCCGACATTTCAGAATGCCGATAGTTCTCGGTAAGAGCTTTCTTAACCCCCGCCCCCACACCCCAAGGGCCTCAAGGTTTTTGATATTTTCGCCATTTTTGTCGGGATTTTTGCAACACCATTCGATAGAGCGTCGCAAAAATGCTAAGAGTTTTAATTTGAGCCTACAATAATGTAAAATAAAAAGTTATAGACAAAAATCTCCCGCGGGGGGGTAAAGTCAACTGTTGCCTCAGAATTGATAATATCGGCATTTATAATGCCGACATTTAAGAATAGATTTTTTAATATCAAAATTCATATATCGGAATTCATAATGACGAACTTTGCAGAGAAAATCTGCTGGAAAACCCGTAAAAACTATGCAAACAAAATTCCTCATTTCACTTTTCGAATAATCGGTTTCGACATTTTGATAAAAGACCCTTATAGCTATATGAGTCCCTTATAGAAAATCAAACCGCTCCAACTATCATATTTATTCGGCTTAACAGCCAGGTATCTTTTACTTTATTAAACAAGCCGAATTACCTCTGTCGACACCGCGGTGAGCAAAAGGACAAGGCAGACGAACAGGAAAAAACGCATTTTAGATTTTGTTTCTCCACATCTCGGGTTTCGCTCAATTTATAGCGGCTCAAATTTTTTTGAGACTGTCGATACTGGTACGCCGTTCCATCATTTTAGCCGGTTTTGTCGAGATTGAGATTTCCCGGTGGAGATTTGGCGAAAACGCGGCAATGCGTACGAAACAAGGAATGGAACAAGTTACGGCGAGTTTACAACAACCTTCATATCTGGTTTTGGATTGAAATACGCTAGTTTACTAGCCATTTTGCAAGATTTTCCAGTTTTGCGGGGTTGCAATAAGAGCTAATTTGCCTCAATTTTTACAAGCAAAATGACCGTAAGTGGCCGCTAATTAGATGCAGAAACCGTAAGTGTCAGTCTTAGTGTTTTTAAACGAGTTGTAAAATGGCGCAGTCAAATATAAAGATGGTTATAAGGATTGTTTCATCGCCGTTTCAAGGGCTTCCGAATGGTGTAACTATCTATCATTGCGATCAGATAGTTCTTCTCGACTTCAGACCCCTCGATCCAAAATTCCCCAACTTTGGTAGTAGGGTTTTGAGGCACCCCGTAGTAAAATGGATTAAAAGGAATTAAAGACGGCTCTTGATGCTGAAACTGGTTTTGTTTTATACATATACTTCTAGGGTAGGATAGATCATGTATCTTGTACTGGAAATCAACTGAAAAAAGGTCCATTGAAAGCAAAAAGCTTAAATTTATTAAAATCCTCATTCGAACTCGAGCCAGTTCGGCGACTCACAGGGACCATCGTCACAGGTAGGCGAGAACTGGAAAGGTTAGTTGTAGACTGCTTTTGTAAAATCAGCTACTTTATCCAATTACAGTATCTAAAATTTAGATAAAATTTATGGGCATCAAATGTAAAGCTGTTTTCACTATTTCAAAAATGCTATCATCAACTATAATAATTATAATGATAACTACCGTCTGTCTGTCCGAAGCCGAATTCAATTCGAAGGGGAGGGAGCTAGAGCTTAGCTGTCTTCGGATTCGGATAGAGCGCCGTCAGAAACCCCCAAACTGATAAAAAAATTATGAAAAACTTTTAGTTGTTAAATTATTAAAATTAACTTTGAAAGTTTTTCCTTTAGTAAAAGGGGTGGGGGTCGGAGATTGGGGTGATTTTGGACATAGTGTGCCAGGTCGCACGCGTTTCGGCGAAGGGGACGGGAGCGCAGGGGGTAGCCCGAAATCCAGCCGGGTCCAGCCGCTGGTTCAGAATGATACATTTGGTAGAGATTTTTTCTGAACAGAATTCACTAGCTTGTTTTTTCTAAAACCCATTCTAAACCCTTTTAGTTAAGGTCCATCGAAAGCAGTGGATTCGCGGCGTTTTTATTTTAAATGGCTGAGAGTTTTTCAGAAATGGCTTTTTGGCAAAAACGAGATCCATATCCGGAATCAGCTCAAAATTCTGCACAACTTAAGCATGGTTGCATCCCGAAATCCGGACGGCACTCCAAAACGGTGCCTTGTTAGAACAATTCTTGCCTCAGTTCCTGGGCCGCAAGCTGCGTCAGCCGGGCACATCGTGCAGCATTTCAGGCCCTAAAAATTCAAATAAATACTTCGAGATTAAAAAATACCGCGTTACATTCCGTGGTCGAGGAACAGGGCGTGTCCTTTGATTTCTGAAATGTATCGTTTCGGACGATTCAGGATTTTCAAGTGTTTCTAAAGCCGATCGGAAGCTTGTATAAGGTTAAATCCTACGGTACGTACACTGTTACTTTATTAAGTAACCCGATTTACCTTCGCCGACACGGCAGCTATCAGCAGAACGAGGCAGGCGAACAGGAAAAAGCGCATTTTCGAGCCCGGTTCTTCCCATATTGGTCTCCATTCAATTTATAGCGGCTCAACTTTTTTCGAAATTGTCGATACCGGTGCGCCGTTCCAGCATTGTGGCCAGTTTTTGCTTGTGGTCCCAACGGAGATTTGGCGAAAACAAAATGATACTCTATAGGTAAAAAAATGATGAATTGTGCCGAAGCTGCCTTCCTGCTTGCTCGGTAAAATGAGGCTCAAAGTGTAAGGTTACTGCAAGCGAAACAGCTGATTTGCTGCCATTAAATGGGTTGAGAAGCGCTAGAATCGACGATTCTTTAACTAGGTTCGAACCGTTTCAGTTACTAATTTACTAAAAACTTAATACTTTCAGGCTCGTGCTTTTTCAAAACCTTCCAATACGTTACTCATAACTTGTCTAATTGTTCAAACTTAGTTAATTACAAGGTTAAAAAGCCGATTTTTAATTTCTTTTTTTTAGGCGCAATTCTTACATTTGCGCGTTTCATTTTTCAATCTTCTAAAATTTGGTACTACCAAACTATACACTCGTAAGTCGACAGCCTCAAAAAGCTCATGAGGAGACAGATTCCGTTCCACCGTCTTGTTCCACCGCTTTTTCATCTTGCCCTCCTGGTTCCGAAGAAATATTAAAAGAGTGGTTGGGTGCACATAAACAAATGAATTCCTGGGTTGAAAGTCACTAAAATATACAAAAAAAAATTCTGTGGCCCTCCGAAGAATTGTATGAGGTGATTTAACGATGGTTCATAATTATTTGAAGCTATCAATGTCATTTATTCCACAACATTACTCAGCAGCAGCTAGATAAACACAAAAATTTACCAGGGTCATTTATTTGCGCAGCGCTGCTGAGCCGACTCTCCCCAATCCTATAAATTTCATTTCGAAATGAAGCCCATGACAAAACTGATACTACTATTTTTGATTATTTCGACTCTATCTGATTTTGCAATGTCTAACTCGGATGGCACTCCCGAGTTCCAAAAATCTGATGCTGATCCAAACCTCAAGGAACCGGAAGAGAAGCCGGAGGGCTGGAATGGTAAGCTTAACAAAGGAAGGAGAGAGAGAGAGAGAGATAGATAGAGGGAGAGAGCAAAAGAGAGAGAATTACTGTCATTTTTCCTACAATGATTTTCCTAAATTCGTTTTTCCTAAAAATCATTTTTCCTAAAAGTAATTTTTCCTAAGTCATTCTTCCTAAAGTATTTTTGCCTTTTCCTATGACAGCATTTGACCTTTCTTGATATTTTTTACGCCTCCCTATTGAATGGCAATTTTTGGGAAAAAATCAGCTTTAGGAATAATGATTTTTAGAGAAAATGAACATAACCCAGGGAAATAGAAGGCGAGAGAGGGAGTGAGCGAGAGAGACATAGAGAGGGAGAGGGAGAGAGAGAGAGAGAGCAATATTCATCAATCGTGGTAAAACTTACCGACCTTTAGTCGTGAGCCAACCACCGCCTCGACCGTGCTGGAGAAATACCGACAAACCAATCCCACCAGAAGAGCTGGAAAAGACCGAAAATGGCAACAATAATGAAAATAAATCAGTGTAAAATTTATGCAATAAATACATACGTGTTTCGATCAAATAACAGCTGCCATTAATGGCAAAGAAGGAAAAATTTATATAATCCTAGAAGTAGCTGGCGCCATACCGATACGGCCTTTTTTGGGTGTAGCAAGTGATCGCAGCCAAGGATCAGCTCGGACAATTTTGGCCGATATCAAGGTCAAATCCTTGGATATAAGTCATAGCCAAGTGGCCAACTACAGAACCTTCCGCACCTACACGAACAATTAAATTATGAAAATCGCTCTATTCTTGGTCCTTGCCTTCATCCTGTTGAGTCAAACCTCGGCGATGCGATTCACGAGAGGATTTGTGAGTTGATGCCTTGCAGCCATTCTTATCTCCTTGATTCCATATAAAACATCCTACTATATATAAAAAAACTAGTGTGTGTGTGTGTGTGTCTGTGTACATTTGCATCCACTTCCGGACGTATGTTCCAGTCGTATCTCAAGAGGGGAGGAAGTTAAGGGTACGTATGATACGTCATTAGGTGCGTAATGGTCATGACACGACTGCACGCATGTGAGATTTTTAAAAATCAGCTGTTTTCGATATTAAAATTAAGATTTTGTAAAAATTTCGCTCGGCCGCTTTGTTAGGAATCAATTAGCATGCGCCGGAAGTGGGGATAGCCTATAAAATTGGGGAGAGGACGTGCTTTTCATTTTTTGCACAGAAATTCAGGTGTTTATGCAAAGTGATAAAGAATGGGGGTCAGACGGAGCCAGGCGGCGCTTCGCGACTTTTCAACCCTGGTGTGTTTCTAGAAATCCACCAACGAACGCTGCGAATACTCCAGGGAATGTGCGCCGGTACTCTCTTGGAAAGTTCGGAAATTTGAAAGTTTCAGGGACTTTACTGCTACGGACTGTGCCCACCGATGTTCCACTGCGTTCGAGAGACTGCTGTGGGTTTATATTTTTATCTTCAGCTTATTTACGACTCTACAAAAACCCGTATGAATTACTGACGAACCTGGCTTATCCCGAGCTTCTTTATCAGATTTTCACACATTTTTTCAGGCCTTCCCAGCTTGCCGTACGCGCGGTGACGTCCGGCTTGACTGACGCGCCAAAAAAGAGTTTGAATTCACAAAAAAAAACGATAAAGAATTCGACATGTTTTGCATGTATTTAAGGGCGCACAATTACAGGGTGTCCTAAAAAAAACGACCCATCTGGCATTTCGCAGGGTTACATCCAATCGGCCCCAAATTTGGGCCCGAGGTGTATCAGACCCTAAATAACAACAATCCTGAGTTATAGCCCCGTAGCTATCGTCTTTCTCGAGTTATAACAAAAATACTGTTTTGCCCGGAATTCTGAACAGTTTTTCGGCATCTTTTTGGACTTTGCATCGATTTGCATCGACTTCCGGCTGCGAATCCCTAATTTCGCTTATGAACTGGGGTAGTTTTGCGTTGTAAAAATCGCTTGAATCGAAGCTTATTTAATTAATTTTACTCTGGAAAAAATTTCTTAGGGTAAAAAAAAAAGCCTCCCGGATCATTTACGCTTAATGTTTAGGGGGTCTAATTCCACGAAAACCCTATGAAAAATGGAAAATAAAGTTTGTTTTCGCTATAACTCAAGAACTACTATAGCTACAGGGCTATAAGTCAGGATTGTTGTTATTTAGGGTCTGATACACTTCTGGTCCAAATTTGAGGCCGATTGGATGTAACCCGGCGAAATGCCAGATGGGTCGTTTTTTTTGGGACACCCTGTATACTCATTTCTCCGGAATTGAGAAAAGAATTAACTTTTTTCTGAAAAATTGGAGGCAGGATTTTTCGGCATCATTAGCAGCGCAGCCTTTTCCTCAATAATTTTTACCGTCAAAAGAAACCCATGGTTTTTTCAGCAATCAAAGCCCCCTAGGGAAAAATTCGGCAAGGTTAGGTCTTGAAAAGCCAGGCCCAGTGCTCATTTTGAAAATGCGTCCGATCGGCTGGTTGCTGTTTTTCTTAGAAACCGTTTCT